CCTCCTGCATCTTCCGGCACGTCCCACTGCAAATCCTGCATGTCCGACCATATCGATTGCTCCGCCGCAAGATTATGCCAGAACTGCTCCACATGAAAATCACTGTGCATGTGAGAGCTCCAGGTTCGAAAATCAGAGTGCGTCATGTCCTCATGAAAATCAAGCGTAACCTCGCCCCAAGTCTCACATGCATGCTGGTCAACCATCATGTTACACGGGAAAGAGAAGGCCTCCATGAACGACCGCTTGTGGGTGCAGCCCTGGGACTTAGGACCCAGGACGGCTCAGTACACTGTTGGCTTAGGCGGCTTGCCTGTTGTGCTCACTCTTGAAAACAAGAGCCCCAAAGAAGTAAAGAAATCCACAGCAGTTGCCACTAGATAGACTGCAAAGAAAAAGTTGCCCGGTCAGAGTCGCCAAGACTGCTCTGGTAAGCTGCAAAAATCAAGGGATAATGCGCTCGCACCCACAGACTTAGTTCCGCAAACTCACTCGCAGGTAAAATCTCCGCAGCAAAACCGATGACCTCAACCGCAGTGGATGAACTCCAAATCACTGTGGCCAACTCAAGAATTCGCTCTGCTTGGGGTGTAGTGATAGGCACCAAGTATTCTGTAAGGTCTTCCAAAGCCTTGCACTTCACGTGAACTGCCGGTAGCAGCGGTATGTTGCCGGACCAATCGAACAAGCCAGAAAACTGATCTTCACTCTTCCGGAACAGGCTGTATCGAAAATCCTCGAAGCAAGTAAAGTTTCACCACAACAAAATCAAGCGCAAGCAAGAATACTGTTGTGCCAAGAAATTCCGTTGCAGACCGCAGCTGAAAAAGAAGAGCACAGACCAACACAGGTGTCTGCGACTCCCCTATGGCAGTTAGTTACCCCAGCCCCTAGCTACTGCACTCCTCCTTCAGAGGAAAGAGTCTTCTGAATGCTCAGCACGGCCGTGCCTCACACCCAGGAACTTGCAAGCTACGCCCTTCCCACTTAGGAAAACAGCTTGAGCCGTAGATGCTTTAAACTGGCAGTGCCGCAGGGTGGGGCCATGAATACGCCCACAAGGTAAGGGCAGCTGAGCCAAAAACGGAGAAGTTTTTGCCCATCTGTGGTGCTGAGATCCGCAATCAACATGTTTGCTGAAGCAATGGATTTGCATTGATGGTCAACAGCTTGGGCGCAGCTCCAGCCAAGATTGCGTATCGCTGCGGTCTAGGACTACATCACCTGTACTAAGGCCAGGAACCTTAAACTCAAGGTTTTGAAGGGAAGTAATGGTTGCGGCAGGAAGCCGCGCAAAATGCCAAACTGTGAAAGCCGCCAGAACAACACGATCTCCGCCAGACCACGGGGCAAGTAGCGTGCAACGTCTGAGCATCAAACAACACTGGTGACTCGAGAGACCTCAGGACACCAAGGCCGTGACACGAGGCATCAAGACAAGGGTGTGTACCGTCGGCTGATTCCAGCCAAAGTTGGAACTTGACATCAAGTTGTTCTTTCCAAGTAAAGGGGTCAACCTGCTTCGCAAAGTTTGCAAAGGAATGCTGCTTCACACACGTAACCTGACACAATGCAACTCGTTCGTGTGTTTGCAACTCAGGTATGCCTGGGGTCTGTCAAAAGCATGCTTCAATGCAACGGGCTGATGCACGAACATGTCAAGCGGATCAACAGGCGCAGGCAGCTCCAAGGAAGTCCAAGCTAGCCGCAGATCATCCTCGAAACTCTTGTTGAAAGTCCATGCCTAAACGTGCCCGGCTCACGAGGCTTTTCAGGCAAAACCCCCACAGAGCCCGCTGCATAGCACTGAGGAATCCCACCCCGGCTATCTCCAGCCACTGCAGCTCCCACACCTTCAAAAATGTTATGCGCGGCAAAGGCGCAAGCAACCTGCAGCCGCCTAGTCAGCCCGCATCGAGGTCTGGAGGTATGGGGAACTCATTAGGGTGTATGAGGGGTGCAGCCACCGATGCCGACCAAGGAGAGTTGAACGTGACATGTTTGGTTTTGTCATGCATGTCTGACTTCTGCGTTTCCCCTGCAATAGCATGTCAGCTCTGCATCCCGTAGCTTGTCCACCCTTAAGCAGGTAAGCATCGCATGCTTAATTTTTCCCCGCCCACCGCACCCCGGAAGTTTCAAAAACACGCATTGCCAACAGGCTTTACTATTAGTTAAGAGGCACGCATTGCCAACAAGCGTTACTTCAAGTTTCACATGTGTCACAGTCCGGGTCAAAATGTACTGGCTCGCACCAGCACAGTTCGAGCGCTTCCCGCGCAACAAAGGTTAGGAGTGCTTGCGTGCTGCTGTGTTGTGGACCAGCGTAGGGAAAGATAATTGAAGTCCAAAGCGTAACAAACCGAGGCTCACCTTGTTCTGATGCGTGGCTGGGAAGAGGTCCTGCAAACGCGCATTGCTTCGCCATGCTTCCTGCCACCAGACACAAGACTATAGCTTTGTGCTCGTTACTTTGCTGCCGTTTGCTAAGTGTGCCTTTCTATGTTCCTTTTTTGTACAATTTCATCGCCAGCACGGTAACTACTAAGAAACGTTTTGCAAATATATCCATGGGAGCCATGTGGCAGGGATTTCCTGCGCGCACTATTTGCATGCCAGATGCAGTCATGCGATTTGTCGTTCGTTCAGGTACACAAAATGCCCGGAGGAAATTGTTGCGGTGATGCGGGTAGATCACGGCGAAGGTGATGCAAGTCACACACGGGGCAGAATCAACCTGTTGCTGTCGCAAAATTGTGGATGAGATGCAAAGACCACTTGTGCACATCGCGACTTAGGAGATGTTCGAGTAATGGTTTGTCTGACGTGTCTGGCGCGGAAGAATGCAATGAATTTCAATACCTGTGATGCCCGAGGCCGCAAGCCTTTTCTTGTCATTGCGATGAATTGCAACTATCATGACACACAAGTCAATCTCGTAGCTGAGGTGATCAGGGCTTGCAATGATATGTCCAAATCACAGCCTTGAAGTAAATCAGTGCGGCTACAGATTGTACCAGTATACGACCCAGCTGAACGATGAAGTTGGGGCCGTCTTCACATGCGTCAGCCTTGCATGCCGAACTTGATATCCACACGCTTTATCAGGCTATGGGCTCAGATTGAAAGTTTGGCAATCTTTAAGAACCCCTGAAAGAAGAATGTTGGGTCAACATTGCACAGAATTGCATGCTTCGTTGCCAACCTTAGCCTGAGTCGGTGGATGCGATGGGCTGCCGTTGTCATGATATGGCGCCAGGCCAGGCGACAAATGTGTTCGGCTTGGAACTCACGTTTTGCGTGGCCATTGTTGGGCATTGCAGGGCCGGAAACCATTGAGTGATCGCCCTATTGCGTATCCATTTTGAGTCCAATTCAGACTGTTATGAATCATCGGGCGCTCTGTGATGCAAACTGCTTTTTCAATTGCACATTGGAACATTTTTGGGATTTGGGCATGAGCATTCGCGGAGGCGCACTGGCTGCTTTGGCTGCCCTCGCAAGCTCAAAACGCGCCTAACCTGACAGAGATCTGCACATACCCAAGGCGTGCGAGATGTCCGAGCCAGGTGGATTGCTTGTCCTTGGGTTGTTGTGACATCGTGCCGCTGTGCCTCAGGCCGTGCTCGAGCTTCCTTGGTGACAACAGCCTGTGTGTGAATTTGGAGTACGTCCGGGCAGGGGATCTTGAGTCTTGAGTTTACGCACGGCCACAAGACGTATTGCCAGGTCTATGATTTCACCGCTGGCGAGGCATTGATGGCATCTGATGAGGTTTCGCTTAATCTTGTGTTCTGCGTGAGCTGACGAGCAGGACCTTTGTGCTTTAGTGACTCCTGCCCATGGCTTCAACCGTGACTTCATGCGCCCCAGCTGAGTTCATGCCACGTGCCTAAGATTTCTGCTGACGTCATCTCAGGATCTCTGCTGGCCTGGCGAATTCCAGCCGTTGCATCTTCGATTGGAGACTCAGTTTTGTTAAACTGTTAGCTGTTAGAGCATGCTCTGCAGTATGTCCAGCGTGCTCTGGTTTGCATCGCTTCGCTTCGTGCTAAGAAGTAGCATCTCAGGAAAGGTGATGGGAGATGTGTCCGCGACTCAAGTGTCCAGGACTAGCAGCATGCTTGGCCGTGCTCTGTCTTCAGGACCTCTCAAACAATCACGACTCAGAAAACTGCCAGTTTGATGGAGGAAAGCTTTGCTGCTCTGCTAGTGAATTAAAAGAACCTAGTATGCCACTTTGCAATTTCAAGGAGACTGTTGCCTGTCCACCTGCCAGACCAGTTCCTGGGCTCTCTAGTGATCTCGTGGCAAGGCACGGAAAAAGCTGTCACTTTGTTTCCAGATTGTGCCAAAGAGCCCGACCTCTATGAGCGGCCGCCGGTGGTGCGCGAAGGCAACGAGTGCACCTCGGCTTTCAAGGCCCACGCAGTGGCCCACGCAGTGTCACTCAGTATTCACTGAGCTCACCTGAGGTGAGTATTTCTGCGGCGAAGAGGCCAGGGATGCCTGGGATGCCTGGGATGCCTGGAATGGTGGAAGCTTTTTCCTCGAAACCTTCAGGCTCTCTACTGGTGCCTGGACGACGAAGCTGTCCTGTCTCCAGTCAGGTGAAGGGAGCCTTGCTGACCCCAAGTAAGCTACTTTTTTCTTGACAGGCAGTGGTGTGCTTTTGGACAGATCCAGGCGAAAAACCTGGCATGCAAGAGGTGGCACACTTGTTTTTGCATTGCTGCTGAGTCGACATCTCGCTGCTACATGTCCAAGCTGGAAGTTGCAGCTGCCCTGCAACAGTGCGCTGGTCTCAGCTTCGCTCCGCTTCGCTAAGCTTTGCTGGGCTTTTCTAGCTTTGCCTGTCTGCTTCTGCCATGTCTCCATGTCTCCATGTCTGCAGCCCTGCTGCATGCCCAGGCATGCTCGACGATCGTGTTCATGGCAACGCAATCAATGCAGGCACCTGCTAGGTTCCACTGACATTAGTTAAATCAATCCCGTGCAAGGTCCGCAGTGCGGCAACCAGACACTGACTTGCACCCTTCAAGATGTGGAGGCTGAAAATGGGTGCCACCTCACCAAGGCCTTTCTCTACTCGCCCAGACTGCACGGAGCATGTTCGCGACCTTGAGGATGACTGCTTCACGCGGATGTGTTGCACTGAAGCTATTGAAAACGGCTTCATTGCAGCCAATCCGGAGGCCATGCACGAACCTTGCAGAGAGTTGCGACAATTATGGAAGACTATTTACATTGCTGACGACATGTTGTCCTTTGCTGGAGTTGTTTCCTGCCGAGCATCATGCATGTCGTTTGCATCCTCGCCCCGCCCATGTGATGAATTTTGCAGCTCTGATCGTGGTATTGCACATGGCTGCGCACAAACAGCAGTGCAGTGTCCAAGTGCTGTCCAGACCGAAGCACTGCCTTCCTTAACAGCCATCTACGACGTGCTGGGCTCCCGAGGATGTTCATTGCCAAGATCGGTGCAGCGTTCAGTAAAGACGACTGCTCAGGTGCGAGTCCACCACCACTGACAATGATGAACCTTGCTTTCCCTACATGATGAATTGCATCCAGGCTCATGTTCTATGGTAATTACTGTGGACAGTTACTGTGGACGCCGCAAGGAAGCACGCGCCGCCAAAGGCACGAAGAGTCTTTCCCAGTTAAGAAGAAAAGCCAGCAAACAAGTTCAACAGCATTTGTAACATTTAGCCGAATTTAGCCATGTGTGCACCATGTTGCTTCGCCCTGTTGCAGGAGGCTGCTGCTCCTGTGACACAGGTCGGGGATTTTTCCGCCTTGTCGCAGCTTTAGCTTTGTGCTTAGTAAGTTGAGGCTGGGGTGGGTGGCGCTGCCGTGACCCCCTTTGCTGGCCGCGCTGTGTACACGGGCCTGCTCTGCGGGCTGTTCTTCGATGGTACAGAATGAAGCGCTCAGTTAGCCAGAAGCCGGTCCAGGACTTGTGTTGCGCCAGATCTCTGCCACTGCGAAGCAGGCTCTGAGCTAAGCGGTTTTCATGCTCAAGCGGCCAATGAGAAAGAGCGTTCAGGTTGGAAGGGAGAGGCATGCCAGCACGCCATTTGTACCCCGGAGTGTGTGCCTGGGCCCGCTGCCCAGTTGCCCAGCATGGCGTGATGTGCATGCTGTGTTCACCATGTTCAGGCAGGGGACCTGTGTGTTGCCGAATGTTTGCGAGTGCTTTTATGGCTGGGGAGGCGAGGTGAGAGAGATGAGAAGTTCAAACCGCTGTGCAAACATCCTCCAGGAGACTCCTGCGAGGTGCCGGTCTCGGAGCCGGCCTGTGTGAACGGGGATGCTTGGGCCCCAGACGAGAGTTCCTGTAAAACATGCGAAGCTGCGAGCTCAGTTGGACTCTAAAGCCCTAAGCAGAGTACTGCCATGGAGAGGTAGTCTCAGCATGTCTCAGCAACAGTCTCAGCAGTGTCTGTTGCCAGTGTTCCCAGAGCTGCGCGGGCCCTTGAAGCAGGAAGAGGACACCCTTGTCGGAGTTTGGTCCGCGTTTCTCGCGCCATTCGCCAAGCGATAGCGCTCTTTGGCTTTCGCCGTGGCCGCGCGCGTGTATAGTTGGGTTGTGACCCTTTCTTTTTTTTTTGTGTTCTCCCGCGCTGCGCCTGAGCGTTGCCGCGTTGCAGCAAGGGACTATCATGCAATTGAGTAGGATTCAATCCATACAGTCTCAACTGTTGTCCGCCTGAGAATTCCTAACTCAATAGCGTTGTATCATCTTTCATGTCCATAGAACAGCTAAAGAAACCCAATAAAGTCGTGGACCGATCCAACATTGCATGGAACGCAGTGGGTTGCTCTTTGTCGACCTCAAGTAGCCGTTTAACGACTTGGATCGGTGTTTGAGGAAGCCAAGTTGGGTTGGACGATCCCAGAGTCCAAGAAGGGATCCAAACAGCACTGAAGCATGGAAGCAATACTTTTTTTCGGACGTGTTTCTAAGATACATGGGTAATTTGAGGGACGCATTCGTGATGAGGAACAAATTACGACAGTGTATGCTAGCCAAAATGAATGTGTGTGCATCGCGGGTGCACACAATTGTTCGTGAGGAACGAAAGATATCTCATGGATAGCTGGAGGCAGCATCGTCTTTGGCACAGATGGGAGTGGGGACAGTAGCTCTCAGGACAGACGCATTAGGGTTGTACCTGGGGTGTTGTCGCCTTGGATCCTGTCACTCATGAAGTTCTGCCGAAGCTTTCGGGTCTCCTTCCAGGACGGTTACAGACCGTCCCCAGGGCCGAAGGCTGGGCCCTCCTCATGCTGTTTCACCCACACTCGCGGCGAGATTCATTGTTGCGGCACCACCTTTCACGAAGCCACCGTGAGTGGCTTGAGAAGCGTACGTGGAGACTGCAGCGGTTGCTCTCGGAGCGTGCCCAGTTTTAGTTGAGTCTTAAAGGGTGCAGCTTCCGACGTCAAGGATCCAAACTGCCTAGAAACGCTCAGACGCTTAGACACCTGCCCGAAACGCACCCGGCTCATGGCTGGGGTCGGTTCACCCAGTTCGGTGGCAGGAGCTGCTTCAGTTATGGCCTGCTTGCCTTGCATATGCAATGGGCATGACCTCAGGATGTTGGGATTTCACACCAGCCATGAGCTAGCCAGGGAAGCCGGCAACTGGACGCGCCAGGGTTGTTAGCTGCGATGCGCCCCTCAACAGTGTTTGGGGGGCGTCCCTTTCAGGTGGAAGCTAGGCTGCAAGTGCTCCGGTCACTGACCTTTTAGGCAAGGAGCTTTTGCTGACGCACCGATTGGCTCGAAGCTTTATGGATGTGATTTCTGGGTTAAGGGTTCTTCAGAGCACCCTTTCGACCAACTTTTGGGGTTGGGGCTGCCCGATTTGCTGCAGTCAGCCTTCTTGGCAACTTCTTGGGCCCTCCTCTTCCTTACCTTCTTGATTGGACTTCTTGTGGGTATAGGAGGTACCTTGTTTGTTGCCTTGCATCTCCTGGGCTTTGCCCGTGCCAATGCTTGGCCTGCAGGGGCCGCTGATTTGCATCCTCGCCTCGCCGCATATCGGCGATTGCATGCACGAGGGGGCTGATACCACTAGGGTTACCACTAGGGTTGCGGGGTGTGAGGCAGCCTGCTTGCCACCTCAGGTCCTTTTCTCTTGCAGGGGAGGACGACCAACTGCCAGCACCTGCCCGCTCAGCCTATTCTTCGCCTGCCCCATCTGTGCCTTACTCGGCTTCCCCTGCTGCATCTCAGGTTCCCTTGCAGGCCTCCGGGCCGTGTGACCCGCGGACTTCGTCCCGCCGGGATCTAGAGCTCACTCTGGCTGGAGCGTGCCAGCTCGCTCACGGCCTCTAGCAACCTTTCAAGCAGAGATCGTGCTCTTCGTGCATGGCGCGCTGGCGCTTGGGCTCGCCTTGTGCTCACGGGTGCTGTTGGCGCCCCACGCCCAGCACTCCCCTTTCCATCCCGAACAGGTTCTATTGCGTGTTGGGGGGCGGCGGTGTCCAGCCTGCCCTTTACCGAAGCTACTCAGCCTACTTTGCTGCCTTGAACCCGTTGTCACAGCCTCCTGCGGTTTCGCACGCCTTCCCGTCGGAGCTGGAGTGCCAGATTACGTTGCAGGTGCAGGGAAGCAATGGCCTTTGCAGGCTTAGAGGAGCTTCGCCCGTGTGTCAAGCATCAGCCTTCGCCTTGGGTGGTTTGCGCCCGTGCCTGGAACAAATGTTCAGGTCTGTCTTGTCGATCTGTCAGCAGAGACCCTTGTGCGATTATCTCCCTTCGAGGGCCTCCGAGCTCATGGTAGGGTTCAGCACTTTAAGATTGCATTTGGTACCCTACCCCCAAGGCACTTCATCAGTGGCTTTCACTGCCTGCTTCTCAAGAGCTCGACATACTACAGTGCCGAGGACGGGCCTTCAAGAGGCCCCTGCTGTGCGATAGAACAGATGGATGGAGCTTGCGTCATCAGGTGCGGCAGCCCCTCTGAAGCGACCTTTGGATGCAAGGCTCTTCTGATTGGGGCTGTGGCGTCCCCCTCCTAACGTGTGGTGGCTCCACCACACTTGCTCAGGCGATGCTTGCGCAGTCTCAGGCCTTGACCTCTCTGGTCGCCCAGCTTGCCTCGGCGTCGACAGACCCAGTGCTGGACTTAGGAGGCGCAGGCGCTGTTGGTGTCCGAGGGGCTTCTCAGCGTGCACGTCTACAGGACGAGCTGGCGCAATAAAAAAAAACTTGCCCGCAGGATGCAGCCATCACTTGTCCACGTCCAGGTACTGGGAAAGGTTCGGAGGGTGGTCAGCCACCAAGGACCTTGGCCTCATAGCGCATCAGGTTGCCTTAGCTTAAAGGATCACATAGCCCTGCTAGCGGTTTTGTTGGAGCAGACCTTGCTCGACGGTCACTTTGAAGAAGCCTGCAGCTGCTGGCAAGGCTAAGGCAGCTACAAAGGAGGATTCAAAAGCAAAGGCAGAGGATTTGGAGGTGGAGCACCCAATGCTGGTTTATGTCATTATTGCCATAGGCCTGGTCATTACGAAGCCAATTGCAGACAGAAGCAAAGAGACATGGCGTTTGCATCCCCATGTATAAAAACAAGGGTTCGCGCGACGACAAAGCCAACTATCGTAATCTGGTAATGCTTTCAGTTTCGGCTAAGCTTGTAGCTCGTATAGCTGCCAGTAGACTCAGTGCTTGGTGTGAAACTTGGCTCTCTGAGGAACAGAACGGCTTTAGGCCAAGACGGGGTATTGATGATGTGCAACAGTTTATTCGGAGGGTCATTGAGGAAGTCTCAGTGTCGTCGTCGTCCGATGTCTTGGGTATTACGTGCTTCGATATCGTACGTGCATACACACGGGTGTGTCGGGTGGCACTTTGGCAACTTCTGGACCGCGTGGGAGTCCCCCCGTCCTTTGTTAGCGTGCTTAAAGCCCTCCACGACCACACGAAGTTTCGTGTCTTCATCCACAATGGCTACTCTGCCCCATGGCTAACCGAAAGGGGATTGCGTGAAGGGTGCCCCTCGTCGCCGACACTTTTTTCTATTTTCCATCATGCCATCATGCTCACCTTTCGTGCTCGTAGGGCCGCTTTGTCGTCAGTCCAACACGTGCAGCCAGGTATCCAGTGGAATTATAAGGTAGATGTTCGTCTCACACGTACAGGACACTCTAAACACACGGCTCGGGGCGTCGTGTCGACCATAGTTGGGGATGTAGAGTTCGCAGACGACACTGCCCTCTTGGGTTGGATGGATGAGCTACAGGGGGCGGAGGCTCTTTTCGTGCAAGCATTGAGGGATTGGGAACAGGAGGAACACTCAGGCAAGCGTGAAAAATTGGTCCTGGTTCCAGGGGGACGGGGGGGTACTGATGTGCTTAATCAGTTCGAGGCCAGATTATTGAAACATTTGGGTGCGACGCATTGCGACAACGCGGACCAATGGGCGGAAACAAAGAAGAGGGTGCAGGCTGGTTTCTTTGCTGTAAAGCGAATCTCGATACTGGTCCCTTGGAACACGCCGCGGGCGAGGCAATGGAGTTGGGTTGTCACAGGCTAGGAAACTTCGGGTCATGAGGTGTGTCTTAGAAGGCACGTTAATGGCTTGTGGCAAAACTAGGGTATGGAGCTTGGCGCAAGAGAAAAAGGCGAACCA